TCAAGCCACCAACCTTTTGGTTATTAGCTGCACCAAGAGGGCTCCTTCATTAGTGGTTTGGGAAATGCAATCAAAATGACAATGAGGTTAGCATTTCACACCTACACAATGACTATAATAATACATATGGAGGATAATTGTTGATAAGGATATGGAGAAACTGGAACCCTTGTATGCGACTATTCCAAAACTACAAACTCACTGCCATCAAGTCAGTGCCCACCTGCAGAGACACTGAAGGGCTAAAACCTGCCCCTGCGAGTAGCTAAGACTGGAACTCTACAGAGCGGCCAGTGGTTTCCATTGCTGACCTGGTGGTGAGCAGCCAAATGTGTAAGCACTTCACCACCAGGGCTCCTAGGAATATGAAAACAGCTTAACTATTGGGGGAAAGGGTTTGAAGGGTTCCTTAAAAAAATCAAACAGAGACCGACCATATATATATATATGGTCGGTCTCTGTTTGATTTTTTTAAGGAACCCTTCAAACCCTTTCCCCCAATAGTTAAGCTGTTTTCATATTCCTAGGAGCCCTGGTGGTGAAGTGCTTACACATTTGGCTGCTCACCACCAGGTCAGCAATGGAAACCACTGGCCGCTCTGTAGAGTTCCAGTCTCAGCTACTCGCAGGGGCAGGTTTTAACCCTTCAGTGTCTCTGCAGGTGGGCACTGACTTGATGGCAGTGAGTTTGTAGTTTTGGAATAGTCGCATACAAGGGTTCCAGTTTCTCCATATCCTTATCAACAATTATCCTCCATATGTATTATTATAGTCATTGTGTAGGTGTGAAATGCTAACCTCATTGTCATTTTGATTGCATTTCCCAAACCACTAATGAAGGAGCCCTCTTGGTGCAGCTAATAACCAAAAGGTTGGTGGCTTGAACCCGCCAGTAACTCCATGAGAGAAAAGTGTGGCAATCTGCTTCCAGAACGATTACAGGCTTGGAAACACTATGTGGCAGTTTCAGGAGTCCAATCCTGGTGCTGTAGTGGTAACACATTGGGCTGCTAACTTCAAGGTCAGCAGTTTGAAACCACCAGCTACTCGGAGGGAGAAAGATGAGGCTCTCTACTCCCTTAAAGAGTTACAGTCTTGGAAACTGACCAGGGGGCAATTCTACCCTGCCCTATAAGGTTGCTCTGAGTCCACAGTGAGTGTGGAGTCCATGGGGCAGTTCTGCCCTGTCCAGTAAGTTCACTAGTAGGCATTGACTCAAAGGCATGTAACAACCACCATCTTACAATATATATGTTGCCATTTATCTTCTTAGGTGACCTCACATATTGCTGAAACCTCCTCATGTTCTTATTGATGAATGGTTTGAGGAATGGGAAACATGTATATATTTCTATAACTGCAGTCGACCACATTAAAACAGTACCTACCAAGCTAGCTCACTAAACTTTTTTGCAAATGTGTTTTTAGGTTCCCGAGTCTTTTGAGCACCTGCCACCTCTCCCAGAAGCTCCATCACTACAACCTGAGCTGGTAGACAAAATTCGAAAGACACTTCCTCCCCAGAAGCCTGAGCTCAGAGTAAAACGGGTGCTGAAACCCAGAGGCTTTGCCCTGACTTGGAATATCACCAAAATCAATCCCAAGTGCGCTCCTGTGGAGAGCTACCACCTCTTCCTCTGCCATGACAACTCGAATGATAAGCTGTTTTGGAAGAAAATTGGAGAAATTAAAGCTTTACCACTCCCAATGGCCTGTACTTTATCTCAATTTTTTTTCTCCAATAAATACTATTTTACTGTTCAATCAAAAGACATTTTGGGGCGATATGGACCCTTTTCTGATATAAAAGCTATCCCTGGATTTTCTGAAAATCTTCCCTAAAAGACAAGGCTTCAATAATGATGTAATATATATTGTTTTTTTCATATTTGAGTTATTTGTTTATAATGTTACTCTGACACTATTGGTCACTTAAAAGAGCCAGTTGAGATTGTGAACCCACTGTGTAGGGACAGTCTTCTTCCATGTGTTGTAAGTGGCGTACCTTACAATTTCATGATTTCCTTTATCTTCATTAAAAAACCCACTGGCTATGTTTGAAAGCATACACTGTCATGGACCCACGTCACTAAGCAATGTTGGGAACAACAGCTGTGATAACCATAGAGTGGATGAAAGCAGCCACTCTTTCTTTGGAATAATTGTTTGGTGGCCTGCCTATGGCTATCAGAGCTGTAGGGGAAAAAACAGCCCTTTACAGAGGGCAGATTATCCTTGGGATTTTTATCCACCAAGGCTTTGTGAAAATAATTGTCTTCCCATTTTGTGCTCAAATTCTGCAAGGGCTATGAATTTGTGCCCTCCCTGTATTTTTATTTTGGCTATATCAATCATATGGGGAAATAGTCTGGAAGTTTTCCCTAAATCTGTTTGTATACTTACATAAAGTGTGTTAAACATTGTGTGCTATGTACACAAAACATGCAGCATCTTTCATAAAAAGCATGATCCCACTCTGTGAGTTGAGGACAAGGGAGTTGTGCACCTTAGATTTAAGGCTTTAATTTGCTGATTCTCTAATGTGTCCCTGTGCCCACTTTCCGGCTGACACCAGTGCTCTGTACTGCTACCAGCACAACACTCAGGGCCCCTAACGTGTCCTTCTGTCTGGGGAAACACAGAACAAATAGCCCAAGAAAGTCTACAGTCACAGACTTGATGGTTTCAATTAGAGACCCCGTAGAGAAAAACTGGACAGCTGTCTAGGAACCTTGAGAATACAAAAATAACCCTAACACTGTGAATAAGAGGCTCAGGGAGGGACGGTCTTTCATGTTCCATAGTGGAAGTTAAGGCTTCAGAGGCTCTGGAATTTTAAAGATAGGAGAGGAAAAAGGAATAAATAAAATGAATGGTTTTTCTTGGTACATTGTGAATGCCTCAACATCTTCATTAATAAAACATGGTTTCAACTTTACCTGCCTTTACTTTTTTACCAAAACAAGACAGATTCTACACTGGAATTGATAAGCTCTTGAGGTCTTATTAAAAGCTAAGGACAGTGGGGCCTCCTGCATCTTAGAACAAAGAAGTCGCTCATTGAAAATGTTATCCTGCAATTGAGGTAGACCAGATCTTCACTCATTAAGCCAAGGGCAAAGACTTGGATACTTAGATGTGGGTGCCTATTATCCAAGTGAAAGGCACTCCCAATCTGAAGATCATCTGGATTTTTTTATAGTTACATAAGAGCGGGGCACTAGGACAAAGGAGACATTTTACGACATTTGACTTTCTGCCCTTTGGGGAGAGGAGCAATATTCTCAATTTTTGCCTAAGGACAAGAAATATCTCAGTCTGGCCAATAGTGCAGTTACATAATATGGAGAGCTAACCGTCCCGCAATATCATCCTTTGAATATACAAGTGCACTTTGTGTACTTGCATTCCTTGTCATTGAGTTGGTTTTGACCCATGGTGGTCTGGTCTATAACAATAAAACATGACCTTGTCCTGAACGATCTTCACGAGCATTGATAACGTTGGAGCCCATCACTGAGCTTATTGGATCGATGTTGAGTTTCTCGTGGTATTTTGTTTTGTTTTTGACCCTCTACAAGCATGACATCTCTTTCTGGCAAGTGATCTTTCCTAATAATACATCCAAAATAAGTCAAAGTGTTGCCATCCTTGCTTCTTAGGAATGCCCTGGTTGTATTCCTAGACTGATTTGGTCCTTCTTTCGGTAGGTCACATTAGCATATTAAGAACTGATTCCATGGCATGAGGGCTAGGTGCTGTGGAGTCTGTTCTGACCCAGCAACTCTGTACAACAGAACGGAACACTGTCCAGCCCCGTGCTGTCCTCGCCTTTGTGCTTGTATGTGAGCCCATTAATGCAGCTACTGTGTCAATCCATTTTGTCAAAGCCCTTCCTTTTTTTTGGTTTGATTTTTTTGCTACCCCTCTACCAAGCATGACATCCTTCTCCAGGGACTGGTCTCTCGACATGTCCAAAGTACGTGAGATGAAGCCTCACCGTCATTGGCAGTGGTGAGTATATTCAACCTTCTACCGCACACCGTAATCTGAATGCATCACTTCTTCAGCCTTCCTGTCGTCCAGCGTTTTCGTCTGTATGAAGCAGTTGAAAATACCATGGCTTAGGTCAGATGCACCCAAAGTGATATGATGGCATTTTTAACACTTTAAAGAAGTCTTTTGCAGCAGATTTTCCCAGTGTAATACATCGTTTACTGACTTCTGCTTCCATGGACATATACTATGGATCCAAGTATAACTAGATAATTGACAGCATCAATTCTGCCATCTATCATTTTATCAGTGCACATGTGAAGAATGTTTTTCTCTCACAGCTTCAAGCTGTATTTTCAGAGACCAAAGTTATGTTATCTATTTGCAGGTTGTTATTAAGTCTCCAACCTTGATGCCTGTTTATATAGTCTGGCTTCTGAGATTATTTGTTCAGCATACCAACTGAAAACATAAGGTGAAAGGATATAACCCTGCTCCATTCCTTCTCAAATTTTGAATTACTTTTCCTTCTTGATCATGTTCTACCAACTGCCTCTTGATTCATGTACAGATTCTGCGTTAGCACAATCAGTCTTATGAAATTCCCATTTTCTTCAGTGTTATCCCTAATTTGTTATAATTCACCTAGTTAAATGCGTTCACATACTCGACACACTTCTCTCTGGAGTTCTCTGTTTTCGACCAAGATGCTGTTTTCGATCATGATGTTCACTATTGCTCCAGTTGTGAGAGTTTTGGTTTTCTGTCCATTGAGTTGCTAGCACGATCTTAGCAAGGGATTCTGAAGACTTGGCAAAGCCACTCGTACCACATGGTACTAGATCACTCGCAAATCTCTCCAGTTCAGGGGTGCTATAAACTGGTGAGAGGACTCAGAGAAACACCCATCCTTGATCTCTATCAGCAAGTGCCTCAAGTGTCAGCAAGGGGGTTGTGCCCTCTGCATATCACAGGTCATTAATAAGCCTTCCTCCAATCCTGGTGGCATGTAGTCCAGCTTCTCCGATTATTTGCTCAGCATACAGATTGAGTAAGTATGGAGAGAGGACACAAGCCTGATACACACCTGTCCTGATGTAAACCATGCAATATGCCCTTGTTCTGTTCACACAACTGCCTCTTGCTCCATGTACCAAGCACGTTCTGATGAGCGCAATAAAGTGTTCTGAAATTCTCATTCTTCTCAAGGCTATCCATAGTTTGTTATGACCAATATAGTCAAATGCCTTTCCATAGTCAGTAAACATCATTTTGGTATTCTCTTCTTTGCATCAAGATCCACGCGACATCAGCAATGATATCCTTTGTTTCATGCCCACTTCTGAATCCAGCCTGAACCTCAGCACCCCTTTGTCAATGTACTGCTGGGTTTAAGGAACTCACAATGACTCACAAGAGTCATTGATCATGTCCCTATCCATCTAGACAGAATAATGCCCAACTGTGGGAGTCATTACTTGAGTTTGGTCTTTTTTTTTTAAGCAGGATAATCTGATCCCCCCCACGTAAAAATACATACCTAGAAGGAGCACAGATTATGTTGTTTCTGGTGTTTTCTGTGGGACGGGAATGTTTTTATTCCCAGGCCAGCATTCTGTTATAAGTAGATAACCGTTCCATATGCAGATAGATTTTGTGTGTCAATGTGGCTGGGTTAGGATTCTCAGAGTTTTAATAATTAAACTCTAATAATTTCCCAGGATGTGACCTAACATGTAATCAACTCCATAATGGGATACATCTGGTTCACCAGTCTTTGGCATTTGGTACTTGAGCCAACATCTTGCCATATTGCCTGCTGAACCTGGGAGTTGTCAGAGGCCTGCCATGCAACCTGCTGCCACCTTGGATTCATTTCACCTCTTAACCCACCTTCCTGTGGTCATCCTTCTTTTGAATTTGTCAGTCCTGCAACTTCGTGAATTAGGAGAGTCTAACATATGACCCACTGACTTACAGCCTTCATGGACTTGGATTTGCCTGCTTCTGTATGAGCCATTTTCTAGATATAAAGGTCTCCTTATGCAGGAATAGCCACCATTTGTCCATTAGTTATACTGTGTGGGATACAAAAAGATTTCTCTCCAGGTTGTCATGCCGTTTGCCAGCACATTGTGAATTCTGCTGCTTAGAGGTATTCTCCCTGAAGGCATTTAGCCATATAGAGCAATCAGAGCCTATTGTCTGTCCCACCATTGGTGGGGCTCACTCCCTGCTGATAAGGATAGTGGATTGCTTTCCTGAAGGGGAGCTCAGAATAAGTCTAGCCAGCTCAAGGACATCTAAGGTTAGGCTGCCATCTTGAATCTAGGATCCACCCATCCTGTCACATGTGTACCCCTATCCCTCCTCTTCCTATTGCGTTTACACCCTTAGACCATCCCCTCCCATTGTGCCCATGACACAACCCCTTCCTGTGACATATGTGGTTACCTGTAATCAAGGGGGCTTGCACAGCCCTAAATATATATAGGCCTTGATCAAAAATAAAGAGGGTCTCTCCTCTTCCCTCTCTCTTCGTGGACCTGGCTGATGAGATCATGGCCACCCCATAGGTGAGAATGCTACCATAAAATGTGTCTGACTCCTTTATTGTATCTTCTCTCCTATTCTGGATAGCTGTGGTTCTCAACCTGCGGGTCTCGACCCCTTTGGCAGTCAAACGACCCTTTCACAGGGGTTGCCCAATTCATAACAGTAGCAACATTACAGTTATGAAGTAGCAATGAAAATAATTTTATGATTGGAGGGTCACCACAGCATGAGGAGCTGTATTAAAGGGCCGTGGCATTAGGAAGGTTGAGAAGCACTGCTCTATGGCTTTACTATGATCTTTATATATTCTCGCCATACAATTGCTCCTACGGACCCTGATATTGTTAGAGGATGGGTACTCTGACAATACGCCTTCATGCTGTGTGTGTGTGTATAAGTATATATGTATATATATATATATGTACATACTCATGCACACACAGCATGAAATATAACAGCTAATTAATTATAACAACAGTACAGAGGGCTCAGTTCAGCTCACTTCTGTGGAACAGTTAATATGCTGGAAGTTCTTCAACTCATGAGGGCTGCTGGGTCCAAGGTCAAGAAACCATACAGCTGAGTCTTCCCTTGAGCAATGCAGGCAGTCTAACCACAGGCAGCTGACAGCAAGGTAGGTCACCAACAGTCAGCAGCTCAGGATCTTAGAGAAGCAGGCTTGGATGGGATATCGAACTCTGACAGCCTCAAGTTCAAACGATATATAGTATACCCTAGCAGCGTGGCAAAGCAGGTCTCGAAGGAACCTCAAGCTCTAGCGACATGATCCACAGGTTAGCTGTTCCACAGGTAGTGTAGTTCACAAGTTGAGGCAGAGAACTAGTTAAAGCAGCCACACACTGGTCTAATCACCAGAGAGTAAGAGAGAACGGGGGTGGGGCTTGCCGAGCCATTTATCTCTTTGCCTTCAAATCAAACTGTGACCTTATTAATCCCATATGTTCCTATTGGCCAGGTTAGAACAATAAACTTACCTATCACAATAGGAATGCAAAAGTTGGAAACAAAGAAGAGGGAACAGTAGTTGGAAAATATGGCTACTGTGATAGAAATGACGCTGGAGATCACATAATAGAATTTTATAAGAACAACGATTTGTTCATAGCAAATACCTTTTTTCAGCATCACAGAAGGAATTCTCCAGATGGAATACACAAAAATAAAGTTGATTACATCTATGCGAAGAGATGATGGAGACGCAATATCAGCAGCTAAATCCGTGCCGGGGCTGACTGGAACAGACCCTCAGTTGCTCAGGTCGAAGCTGAAGAACATTAAAACAGGTCCACAAGGGCCAAAATATGACCTTGAGTCTATCCCACCTGAATTTCGAGAACATTTCAAGAAGATACTTGATTCATTGAA